CTCCACGCATAACCCCGCCTCCTGGGCGCCGTACTCACTCTCCGGCCCTAAATCCTTCCTTACACGTAAGCCACCCTCCTGAACCTTGACTCCACTTTTAAATCCTGGGACCGTCCCCTTGCACGAAACGTGAATCTAGACCGAGCTCCCGAGTCCCACCCCCCCTGAGTCCTGACCCCCCCCCCCCATCCTCTAGAGAAGCATAACCCGCCTCCTAAACCCTTCGCGTTGGCCCCGCTCCGACTCACACCTCCTCCTGCGAACTTCCAGGAATAGGTGATTTCCTCCTTAGGCAGTTGGAAGTTCACAGTGCAGGAGAACTTAGCCTGCTGACCCCGAGTCACCGTCAAGTCCTGAACTGAAGACATGTCCGCGTCACCACCCGGGCCCGCCCCCGTGCGGCCGCTTCCCTTCCCGGCTCAGCTCTAGTTTCTCCAGTTCGTACCGTTTCTTCTCCTTCCAGGCCCCGCCTCTCACCTGGGCAGTCCAGCGGGAAGTTGCAGGCCTTGGAGTAGCACCCGTAGCAGAGGAAACGCCGGGCGACATCCTGGAACCCTGTGGGACCGAAGCGTGCACCTGGGCTCCGTCTGCGTTCCCAGCCAGGGTCCCTTTGGCCAACTTAAGGTCTGTTAAGCCTCCGGGCTCTATCGGCCAGACAGGCCCTGGGCGCCGCCTTCCCTGCGCTCCCTGGCTGACTCGCCACACTCTCCGGCCTCTAGGACTCCTATTGGCTTGTTTTTGCTTACAGGCCCGCCTTATATGAGGTTTGTGAGCAATACCTGGTTTTATTACTTTTCTCCAGGGCTCTTATTGGCCTCCTTCGGACCCGACGCCCACCCAGGTTTCGATCCCGACCACCTCCCTGCCCCCTCAATTCTGAGCTTTGAATGAGGTGCTTACCGCAGGGAGGGACGCAGGCCTGGGCTGTGGAGAGAGAGACATAACTACCTTGGAGGGCCTGGAAGTGCCTATCTGGAGCTCCCATAGGGGATGTTACTGGGCCAGATGCTTTCCTCCTACGGGGCGGGGCCAGGCCTGCCGCGGCCCACCTAGGGGGCGGAACCAGGCCTGCCGCGGCCCACCTAGGGGGCGGAGCCAGGCCTGCCGCGGGCGATCCAGGGGCGAGGCCTGATCTGCCACCGCCCACCTAGGGGGCGGGGCCAGGCCTGCTGCATTCCAGTAACATCAGGCCCAGGCACGCTGTTTCTAAGGGCGCTGGGCGGACCCCAGTGTGTTCCACTGAGGGAGCGGGGCTAGACCCCGGGCGATTGTTTTAGGGACAGGGCCTAACTAGCGGGCTCAGAGTAGAGGTGTTGGCTAGGCTAGAATTCCCCCACTGAGGGGGTCCACTTGGAAAGGAAATGTCAGAGTGCGCCGACAGATCCAGGGAGAGGCCCAGGCCAATCTGGGACGGAACCATCCCAAGAAGGGGTCCTAGCTGGAGAGGAAACCTTCCACCGAAGCGGGGACCACATCCAGAGTGGTCCTGGCAGGGGGAGAGGCTGTGTCAGGAGTGACCCACCGAGGGCAGCGGCTCAGAGGGACTGGGCAGAAGGGAGAGGATGGCTGGCTCAGGAATTTTCTAATCGTGTGTGTCGCGCCTAAGGGAAGGAACTGGAGCCTCTTTTACCTCCTTTAAGCTTCATAATGACCTTCCGCATTTTCTCGGCAGCATCAGGGAAAGCAACGTTAAAGGAGCCTGGGGAATGGAGGGGGGCCTTGTAGAAAAGACCCTTCCTTTCCTCAGCCCCTCCCGTCCCTACGTGTCTAGTATATACTGCACCCCCTCTCCTCACCTCCTCCCACCCTGTCTACCTGGAAGCCTGACGACTCCCCAGATGTCCTTCCATCTGCCCCAGGACTATCTCTCCAATGGAACCCCTCTGCATCCTGTGTTGATCTTATTGAGGGGGAAAGGGAAGATAAAGATCAAATTCCTCACCAAGTCCTATTACCCCTACATGGTCTGGCTACTTTCCTCTGGCTCTCTATTCCATCGTGCCCACCTATCATTTCCCCTAGTGTGAAAACAACCATATTCTCTAGCACCTCAGGGCCTTTGCACATGCTGGCTTCTGTTTCTAACACATCTTTCCCCCTACTCCTGCCCATCCTTCATCTCCGACCTCATGTCGTCTCCTGCGAGGTTTTCCCTGACCACAGATCTAATCCAGTTCCCTATTTTTGTCTCCCGAAGTGTTCCATTCATTCCATTTAGAGTTCTCAGTTTAGAATGATATGTATTTATATAATTTATTTTAAAAATTGTAATGTTTATTTTTGAGTTGGAGAGCACAAGCAGGGAAGGGGCAGAGAGGGAGACACAGAATCTGAAGCAGGCTCCAGGCTCCGAGCTGTCAGCACAGAGCCCGACGTGGGGCTCGAAATCACAAACCGCGAGACCATGACCTAAGCTGAAATCGGACACTTAACCGACTGAGCCACCCAGGTGCCCCCTTACATAATTTATATATACAGCAATCATGTAAGTGTGTACACTGTTAAGTTCGTAAACACATTGTTCTTCGTTCTTCAGTGCCGTATCCCCAGAACCCAGGGGAGGGCCCTGAGTCTTAGTAAGTATGTGTAGAATGAATTCCAGGATCCAGCTGGAATGGCGACCACAACCGGTGGCCTGTGGCTCCAGTCCATCTCTTGCATGTGTTATATTTGGACTGGAATTTATTTTTAAAAATTAACCAGTTGCCAGCATGTAAAATTTGGGAAAGTCACATAAAACGTTTGGCATTTCTTTTAAAACATTTGGAAGAGGTGCAACACAGAGGCTGTGTTTTTGTGAGGGGGCAAGTAACTACAGCTTAGGGGCAGCTACCTGCTCTACACAGGGCATGCACCTGACCCTCCTCTGTGGTCTCCAGTCTCTGTTCGTTCCTACCCCCCTTTTACGCTTTCTTTCTCCGTCCTTGTGGGTGTTGGCAGTTTTGACCCTTGCAGGGGCCTCCCAACTGTAAGGTTTTGTGGCTTTTCCCAAAGTGAACGGCTGGATGGTGGATTGGCGATTGGTGGAGATGGCTTTGGAAATTAGAAATGTGGCAGGTGTTATGGACTGAATTGTATGTAGTCTTCCCAAATTCGTATGCGGAAGTCCTAACCCCGAGTACCTCGGACTGTGACTGTACTTGGAGGTACAGCCTTGAAGAGGTCATTAAGTTAAAATTATGTCATCAGGGTGGACCCTGATCCAGCATGACTGATGGCATTGTAAGAGGAGGAAAGCTAGACACAGACACACAAAGGGAAGAGCGTGTGAAGACACAGCAAAAGAGAAGATGGTCATCTACAAGCCAAAGAGAGAGGCCTCAGAAGGACCCAGCCCTGCTCACCCTGATGCCTTGATCTTGGACTTCTAGCCTCCAGAAGTGTGAACAAATACCTTTCGGTTGTTTAAGCAACTCAGTTTACGGCACTTTGTTATAGCAACTCCAGCAAGCTAACACACAGGGATTGCTAGTTGCCTCCAAATATCTCTTTAGTAACATCACACTGCATTTCAGCTGGGAAAGCACCCCCGGCCCCGCCAACCACCCAGCTAAAAGGCTAGATTTCTCAACAGCCCTTGCAGCTTGTAGCTGCAGTCACGTGACCCAGTTGTGGTCATATAACCAAGTTCATAGGACATAGTCTTAAAAGAGACATAGCACATTTTATCAATCCTTCCCCTTTCTCCATTTTGCTGCCTGAAGCTTGGATGGATGGCCGGAGCTCTAGCAGTCATGCAGAACCACGAAGATAAGGGCTCCACCCTAGGATGGTAAAGCAGGCAGCCGGAAGGGGTTTGGGTCCCCAAGAAGATGAAATGGTGCTGCCGTACTGAAGTGCCTACCTCAAGACTTCTTTTACACGGGAGAAATAAACTTCTAGCTTGCTTAAGCCGTTGCACATTCCTCTGTGACTTTTTTTTTTTTTAAGTAGGCTTCATGCCCAGCGCAGAGCCCAGCGCGGGGCTTGAACTCACAATCCTGAGATCGAGACCTCAGCTGAAGTCAAGAGTCAGACGCTTAACCAACCCAGCCACCCAGGGGCCCTGTTCCTCTGTGATTTAAGACATATAAAAATGGAAAATATTGGCAAGTGTGGCTGATATGGTGATCTTTGGGTATAAATTGGAGAGGGGGGCACTGAAGCCAGGAAGTGGGTTCAGAATGAGGGGTCAAGGACTTAGGTGTCTCTCCTTGGTCACAGGGCAGATGTGTGGTCTGGAGACGGCAGGATGATCAGGAGGATGTGGTCAGAGTGGGGTGCTCAAATGAGAGGCCAGGATGTTGGAGTCGTCATCCAAGGAATATCTTTGGGCCAAACCAAGTGACTCACAGGGAGGATGAGTGTGGGATATACCAAGTGAGCCATGCCCAGGGTATGTGTGCGTGCTGTATCGATCGAGTAAATCATGGGAATAAAACAGGGATAGAGTGAAATGTCCAGAGGCAGAGGGGTGGAGGTCGTCTCAAGTGAGCCACAAGGGGGCGTGGGTAGATGTTGTAAAGTCTCCCCAAAAAAGGTGCATGTAAAAAAAAAAGTGCGTATCCGTAGGAACTTCAGCTGTTTCAGACCATCCAGGTTTGAGTCCCAGCTCATCCATCTGTTATGGGTGTTGGGAGTTTTGACCCTTGCAAGGGCCTCCAAACTGTAAGGTTTTGTGGCTTTTCCCAAAGTAACGGCTGGATGGTGGATTGGCGATTGGTGGAGATGGCTTTGGAAATTAGAAATGTCACAGCTGAGACATCCATTTCCAGCCCTCTTCCTTATGTGACCTTGGCCAAATATTTAGCTTTCCTGATCCCCAGTTTGCAAGACGGGGACAATATCAGCGCCTGCCTCTCAGGGCTGGGGCGAGATTTAATGCCGTACAATATAAAGGGCGTCCCCATGCCAAACGATGTGCCGTTTAATGGCCGCGTGACAGAATGTCTGTAAGCGCTTCGGATGGCACACGGCGAGTGTTACGGACAGGTCAGCTGCTCGTATCGACCACCTCCAGGTTTGAGATGGGGAAACGGAGGCACAGAGAAGTTAGGAAGGTGGCCTGAGGTCACACAGCTAGACTTCAACCCAGGTGGTTGAGCTCCATGACCTGTGGCATACCTCCCTTCTCTACACCATGCCATCCACTCCCTGGTTTTTATATGCAAACAGGATCACCTGCCACCACGGAGAGCCTCTCGGACTCAGCGTGTCCATCTCTTGGGTCCTCCATCCCGGAGACCTGGAGCTGCCCTTTCCATCCCCCTCACCCTGCACACACCCAATCCAGCATCTCCTGGGTCCGTCCAGGACAGAAAGTCTAGCCGGGCCCCAGCTTCCCCATCTAGAAAATGGGGCCACAAAACCCCACCTCACAGGGCTGGTATGGAGATGTCCTTGAGGAGGATAATTAACATGTGTAACCGCAGACACGGCCCCTCCCATGTATGGGGCACGTTTGGCACGGTCACATCCTTGACCTTCCTAATCTTCCACGCTCAGGCCCAACCCTCGTCTTGGCCCACCTGGCCCACTACAGCTGGTCCAAACACTGCTGACCTTCTCAGTGGTTGCCCTGCTTTTGCCCTTGGCCTACATGGCCTCAGTCAGATACCATCTCTTTCTTTCTCCCTGAAATCCTCCAGTGTGGCTCCCGCCTCGAGAGCAAAAACTGAAGTCAGTTCAAGGGCCCACAAGAACGGTTCTCAAAGTGTGTTCCTGGAGCATCACCTGGGAACTTGTTGGAAATGTGCGCTTCCTGGCCCTGCCTCAGACCTACTGGTCCGAAATGGAGGTGGGGCCCAGGTGTCTGCATTTTAACCGGCTCCCGGGTGATTCTGACATCCACGGGAGCTTGACAACCACTGGCCTACGAGGTCCTACAGGATGTGGTTCTTCGAAGCCTCTGATTTCATCTCTCGCTTTTTCCCTCCGCTCCAGCCCCTTGTGCTGGCTCTTCCCCCAGACTACCTGCATGGCTCTGTCACCTCATGCACATCTTTGCTCAGCCGCATCTTCTAATTTGCAACTCCCCTGACCAACCTACGTGACATAATCACCCCACGGGGCGCCTGGGGGGCTCAGTCGGTTGGGTATCTGACTTTGGTTCAGGTCATGATCTCGCGGTTCGTGAGTTCGAGCCCTGTGTCAGGCTCTGCGCTGACAGCTCGGAGCCTGGAGCCTGCTTCAGACTCTGTGTCTCTCCCTCTCTCTGCCCCTCCCCTGGTCGTGCTATGTCTCTCTCTCCCTCCAAAATAAATACAAACATTAACATTTTTTTTAAATAATCATCTCATGGGGCACCCTGTTCCCTTTCTGTCCTCTGTTCCCCTCCATATCCTGGATTACCAACTGACACACTATAGTATTTCACTGATTACATTTATTGTCTGTGCCTCCCACCGCCCCCAATACAAGCAACCTGAGGGCTAGTGGTTTGGAGTTCTGGTCACAGCTATGTCCTCAGTGTTGTTTCCGGCACATTCAATAGAAACTTGTCGCTTATGTTGCCCCAGCTTCTCCCGGCCTCTGGTCTGTCCCCCACACAACCCCAGAGGATCTTGCTATGCCCAGAGCTGAGCCTGCCCTTTCCCCACTCATAGCCCTGCTCCTTCAGGACAGTCTCCAGTCTCCCTGACCTTGCAGCTAAACCCTGGACGCATGTGTCTAGCTGCCTCCTGGATGTCTCCTGCGTCCCTCACGGTCACTACATCCTAGCCCAGCTCACCACCTACTCCCACTCCTGCTCTTTTGCCCGGACTCCCCGTCTCCAGGGATGACTCAGCCCCCACCCTCGCATGGGGACCCCGGGTGCTGTCCGTTATCTTGCAACTCCCCGAACGGCCCATCAGACCCACCCCCTGTCCCTCTTGCTCTGGACTCTCATCTGCGCCCGTGTCCTCTCCTGCACCGTCACAGCCCATCCCCGCCTCGGGCCTCCCAGCCTCCACTGTCTCCCCACTCCAGTCTGTCCCACACACAGCTCTAGGGGGAGATCTTTTACGTGCAGAACGGGACTCGTTCCTGCTCTTTTCAGAAACTTCTGTGAGGAGGTGGTCTACGTGGGGAGAAAAGGTGTTTTCTGGAGTCCTGAGCCCCTCCCCCCACCCCAGCTCTGAGTTGCCCAGGCCTCTCTTTGGGCTTTGGGGGTCTGTAGCTGAAGTCTTATCCACGCTCACCCCCTCCCCAGATACCCCCTGGGTGGACAGGAACCTCCCCATCTTTCAGGGTCGTTGTCAGAAAGCTTGGTGGGCAAGAGCAAAAAACAAAAGGCCTAACTGCAGATGTAGAAATAAACCCTGAGCCCTGGACCCCCAGCTGGCCAGTTCACACTGCAAACAGCGCTCAGGCCTCCCTCCTCCCTCCCACCCTCAAGGTCTGTCTGGTC